CAAAAATATAATCTAATTAACAAGAATAAAACAATTGATACTTGCATTTACCTCACTCTGTTTTTTTTTTACATGTACCTCTAGGGTGGGATGTTCAGAAGTTACCATGTGGACACAATGCATGCTTTAGCAAACAAAGCCAAAAAATTTTAATATTGTCTGAAATGTCAAGAAAAAATACATTTAAACGGCCCATTTTCAGGAGCCTGTGAACAATACAAGTGTTCATGGTCCTGTTTAGGTGCTTTACAACAAAAAAGTGAGAGTGACTAACTGAAAAACTGCAGGCTAATTCTAGCTAGCTTGCTACTGTAATTTGACGTCTGACAGACCTGTAAAGCTCAAATCAGCTCATATGTTGTAGTTCCAGCAAAGTCAGCTCTTTCAGATTCGATTGCATTACATTAAAGATCCGATTAAAGCCCACAGAGCAGTGCCTACAGTTACCATCACACTCTCAGGGAATGTTGATGACATAGGTATGAATATTAACAAACATATATAATATAATAAATACATATAGATTTCATTAATATCACACACCCTGACATCTCAGTACTAACCATTAAAAACATTTGTTTGTGAATCATTATTGAGAATCTTATGAGTACAAACCACTGTGCAGTATCAACCACAAAATGTTCATTCTTTTTTTTTTTTTTTTGACATCCAGATAAGTCAGTAATCTCTCTTGGTGTGAATGATTCATTACTCATTCTTTGGATTCCAGGCAATATTTTAATAATTTAACCCTTAAGTGGTTAAAATGGGATTATAACAACCTCAAATGAGTCAATCTAACACTCCACACTTTTGAGTGGTCTCTATGACAGGGTAGTGTCCACAGTTTCAGGCCTATGTGTGAATCACTGCCATAAATAACTATAATGACCATAATGGGTGTTTACCAGAGCGGCTCATCCCAGTGAAAGCCAGGGAGCAAGAGGCAGATGATTATGTGAAGAGTGAGTTCCTGAGATTGTGAAAGCTTCTAGTTAAAAACACTGGGTGTAGTAAATAGAGCCTGGAAATGTGGGAGCTCTTTTCATAAGAACTATTAAAAGGAAATAGATCATTGTTTTGAGTTGTACTGGATATATTGTACTAACTAGACAGATGCCACAGCTACAGCTATGACATTTTTGCAACACAAACACACATGGTCGTCATATTCACTTCTCACTTTTTCTGTACCTTAATCTACAAAGAAGTTAGACGCAGATCATTTTGGTATATGGACCCTTACCATGACTCCTTTTTTATGCTTTTATTTTGTCTTTTTTTATTCTTTTTATTTTTCCATTTTGCATATACTATTACTTTATAACGTATACTTCATTTTAATTAAAGATGTACTGTAGCAGGATTTGGGAGGGGGGCATAATGGAACGAGATTGTCTGTCTGTTTGTATGTCTGTATGTTTTGTAAAGTAAACCTGTGAGATTTCCATCTATTGTATAGTGTGTTACTAATGTTTTATGTTTTTTGGACCCTCTCGAACAAGCTGGCACGTCTCAAGGGGCATTCCAATAAAATAAACTCAAATTCAAATAGCATGGTAATGCATGTATCACTTGATCTGACATCTATGCAATGAATTAATCCAAAGAGAAGACTTCTATAGCCCTAGCCTCTGCACTAGGGATAGGATGAGACATGATTCCCACAAGATGAGACAAGGCATTAGCTTTGGTCCACAAAAATTAGACAAGATGATATTTTTTAGGATAGAAAAGTTTTTTCACAACATTTCACAGTGTTGTTCTTTTTGCTGTTATTGTAGGACTGTTTTTGGAACTACAGCCTCTTAATGGGCCTATATTACACAAAATTGACTCTTCTGAGCTTTAAGCCATGTTTCTAATGTTGTTACCTAATTAAAAACATACCCAGGGTTGTGCTTTGTTTCATTCACAGTAATTGAGTAATCCTACTTTATTAGGCTGTGTGATGGAAAACATCATTATAGCATAGATCAGAAAATAAGGCAATATGGGCCCCTAACAAATCTCACAAATCATTTTCCCAGTATGTGTACAATCTTGTTTGCATGTTAACTAAGGCAGAAAAAGCCAAAACCAAAACATGTATTAATGACTACTGTTAAAACTACTGTATCTTTGCGACAGTGGAGCAGTGTTAGTATGAGAAAAGCAGCCAGGTAAGAACACACTAAAGCCCTAGTCCCTACCTGGCATTATCTTCAAATCAAAGCCTGGCAGAAGATCTTCAGGTACGGCTGAGAGACCTGGAAAAAAGACAGAGCACAGGAGGTGAAGAAGAGAGCAGAAATGAAGGGGTTAATATATAGAGGACAGGTCCACAGCAGCATGCAAAGAGGCTACTTTACAAACAAGCTTGTTCCAGATCGTCCTTGTTAGAATTTAATTAAAGGTGCACAATCTAACTTTTCAGTGAGGGTCTGCCACCTGTTTGTCTCCATGGAGATGTATTGCTTTGTTTGGGATGTTCAGCAGTACGGCATTAAAATGATCTAGTATGTGTTTATTCAATTACCGGTGTTTTCATTGCTCAAACATGTCACGAAAAACCTGCAATCTTACTGTGAGCTGGTTTGCCTCTACACAGATCTGATCTGTTACTTGTCTCTATGGAGAGAGATAACTCTAATGTCCTACTGTCAAATATTCATACACTCAAAGCAATAACATCTATTCATAAAAGTTACACAGTGCATCTTTAAAAGTCAAATTTAGGTCTTGAAGACAAACTGGAACATGAATCATCTCAGGATAATTATTAACAGGTTTAAGCAGCAGAGGCGCATGCAGCAAATCCCAAAATCCCGACCTGCGTGTAGCGAGCGAGTGCCCAGTCAGCAAACTATAAGCCACAGTGAAGTGTGTGTGCATGTGTACGTGTGTGTTTGAGTATGTGTATGTGTGTGTGTGTGTGTGTGTGTAGGACCAATACTCCTTTAGACTGTTACTCACTGAATACAGGGCAAACTGCAGGTGTTCATTTACTCCCTGTGAACAAACAACTGACTTAAATAAATATTACGGATTAGCCTTTCATCATTAATTAATATTATTATAGTTTATGTGAATGTGAAGTTGTACAGAATAGTGGTTCTCAAGCTCTTCAGTACAATAAAATACAACTAGGTAGGACTAAACCTGCCCACTGTAGATTAAAATTAGCAATAAAAGGATGAAATTGCAAAAGATTAATCAAACTGACTGTAAATTAAAATAAAATGTAAAATGAACTGTAAATGTAACGCATGTATCAGTGCAGCATGGTCCTATCTCTCCCACAGGAAATCACATACTCTCATACACTTGTGTACACATCAGTATGTACTGACTAGCAGGGATGAAAATCCAATCTTCAGGTTCGTTACCAACTCAGCCACTGCTACCCCATAGTAGAGAGAGACCGATATTTGGACTTTTTAACAGGTTTTTGGCCTTAAATTTCCAGCACAGGCCAATATGTTGTTTTGGCCAACCTGCTGCTTAAAGTATCATAAAACTATAATTAACATTTCAATGCGAAAATATAACTGGACAAAACATAACTACACTGCTCTCTTAAAGGTTTGTGATTAAAAAAAGGTTGTGGGTGAGTTTTTAGTACATTTAAACAAATTACTTAGAGAAATTAAAAAAAAAATTGTCATTATTAGCCCAAAAATGTTGGCAAAAATGATCGGCCATTGGTTTCCCTGGTGTGGAAAGAGAGTGATCATTCAAAACATTGTATTTAGCCATAAATTTAGCTTCTTTCTATCCACATTTATGTACACTCTGAACGTATCTGAATTAAACCTGAGTTTGGCAGATGGGAAACAGTGTTGAAAACTGGTTCAAGAATGTGTCTTACTCTGAGCCTTTTGCCACAGCAGCAGTGAATCAGTGTTACGAAACAAGTGCTGATAATTTAGTACAGTCTACAGTGGCAGACTTGGTGAGAAAGGGAATGTGGGGCACTCTTTGCACTCAGCTCACACATGCCTTTGCCTTACTTCATATGTTTATGCTAAATATGTGTCCATTGCTCAAGGAGAGAGAGCTGAGTAAAAAGTATCAATCTATAAAATATATTAAATTATTTATTTTTATTTGGGGTAAAGTTAATTTTTTGCTCAACCACTATACTGCATGAAACCTCAGTCATGGTCAAATTCATCCTAATTTAAAGATAGCGTCTGTAATTAGATTAGCTGATATCTTTTCTATGTTGCTCTGCTTGTTTCTATGTTGCTGTTGCCAAACTTTGAATTTCATGGTCAATAAAGTATCTGTCTGTCTGTCTGTCTGTCTGTCTGTCACATGTGAGCTTGAACAAAAGCCAGGTGAGGGGAGAGAGGGAGGGGGGACCAGTTTTTACATCTGCCACCTACTGATCCTAAATAAACGTGCGGATTGTAGCTTTGAGTGTCAACTTAACAGCATCTCTAGTGATTAATATTTAAGTAATAAATATAATTCCTCCAGTCATCATCACTGAATTAGAGGCAGATGTGTGTACAATACACAATTAAATGTTACACCAATTTAATAAACATGCATTAGCCCATGTGCCAAACCAACCATGTTAATCTCACTTAAAGTCAGCCAATCATATCCATGGCTACAGGGGAAACTCTACAAACTTTTGTTGAGACCAAAGATTTTAAAATCTCATCGTAAACATACCACTTATATGAAAACATTTACATGAGAGGGTACTTCCTGGTAGCTCAGATTCTGCGGCGTCAGCCCTGATACAAACAGCGACACATACACAGCAGAAAAGATCAGGTTTCCATGGTTACGTGGGGCACAGCAGCTCTGAGAAATACCATGGCTCCAGCAGTAAATCTAACCATTGAGGGGCCTGCCTTGTTGGACATGTGATAAATAGGTACACTGAGCTAAAGAGACATAAAAAACTAGAGGGGCTATTTACAGTAAATTAAAGCTAACTGTGGTGAACTTTAACACGTCACACACAAAATTCGGAGTAAGACAGATTTCAGATGGGTACTGTGTTTGAACGAGGGCTATACTTTAAAATTTGCACAGTATGGTAATCACCAGCGAGATACTTCTGCCCAAGATCCTAGAGCAAGATCTGGATCTGGTGGCTTCACTGTGATTTCCCACTTATTCTCAGTCTGTCCAGAAAATGCACAAGAGGATAATGTGTAATCACTTTATATAATCGCTCGCTTGTACATTCAGTCCTATGACAGCTTTGCCAATGATGTGTATGAAAAGAGCGGGATTCAAACAGGCAACCTTTGGCTCAGTGCACAAATGCTCTACCAACTGAGCTTCTGTTGCCCATTGTGTTTTCACATCTTAACTAAAGCCAACTTCAACCACCAATTTACAAAAAAAAAACTTGCTTGTTGCTTGCTTGTAAAAACCAAATCAACTGCTTCAAGTGATTGAAATGAGTGAGAAGTTAACTCACCAAAACCACAGCTATCCCAAAATCTAAAAAGATACAGATCAGAAAATTAAATGATGTGGTTGAAAGTAAAGAAAAGAAAAGAAAGAAAGTAAAGTAAAGTAAAAAGTAAATAATTTCCTTTTCATCCACTAATTTTCTTAAATAAAACCATTTCAATTACTGCTTCTATTTACTTGTTAAGCAGGTCTTTTTGATCAACATAGTTTTATTTCTGTTAATACTGTACAAGTTCCAAAAGCATGATTCGTTATACCAGCATACTGACCGTTGTTAAGACTATGTGGGAGTGGACCACCATTGTCAGCTCTTTAAATGAAAATCACTGGTGTTATTTTTTCACAACACTGCAAAATTAACAGCAGCAGTTTTAAACACTTACCTAGCACGAGCAGCTCCACGGAGGCTTCATTTTGTCCCTCCAGATCATCCGATATAATCACTTTACAAATGTACACGCCACTGTCTCCCCATTGCACCTCTCCTATACGAAGGTCCGCCTCTGAAAACAAAAGATGTATTTTAAATACTGCAGCGTTTTGGGTAAATAAATACATAAGAAATGCTACTAAATTAACAAAAATACAACCATACAATGTAAAGAAAACCTATTCAGGACATATAATAATGATATGGTATGATGAATTTTTCAGTGGATTAATAATGATTGTTCTACATAAATCTGAAACGGGTACAAAAGGTGCTCTGTGTAACTTTTCTGGTGAATGGTCCACCATTTGCTTATCTCCATGGTGATGTTATTGCATACATACATTAATATCTCCACAGATCTGATCTGTACCTTGGCCTGGTGATGTAGCCTGTAGTTAAATTAAATGCAATACTGTAGAATATTCCAGGAAAAAAACTACATCTATACGGACTCAAGCAGGTTTCGGACTCTACCGAAAAGTTACACAGTGCACTTTTAAGAGTTACTGCAGTTTAACTATCTTGGCTCATTAGTTGTGAGAGCTTTGACTGGACTGGACATGCAGCAGCAGGAAGTGGGTTGTACGGTATAATTCACTTCCTTTTCCGATTTTCTGTGTAAGAAGGAAGCTCCAGACCGGGCTGACCGCAACCGTAACATCCAGAGGGGTCAGTGATTTGGGGAAAATGTATAATTGTGCTTTTTTTCCTGACAAATACTGCAATAGAGTTGGGGTTTCTTTAAGGTTCCAGTCCAAGTAATGTACATTTTAATATGTTCACGACACAGGTGCATTCACAGTTGACAGAAGAAAAAAAATCCTAATACTAATTCTATTAAACAGAAATCCAGTGCACTTCAGAACATGTTATCAGGGTTAGATAGAAAGCAGTACAAACTGTAAAGTTGTTTGTAAAAGACATTTTTAATTGCAACCTGTGAAACTTTCTTTGATTACTGAAATTGCAATTTGGAAACAAGTGTGATTACTTTTGAGGCTCTACTCTTCAAGGGTTTTTACTTCATATCAAAATATTATGAAACATTAGAAGTGGGTGACATACAGACTTCACAGAGATCCTACATTTTTACTAAATCTAAATTATCCACCTATCTTCTAGACAGTTTAGATCTAAAGCAACACACAGAGGGGAACTAACAATTTCATGGCATCAATTCAGCAGTTTTAATGGAGCAAACTTCACGTTAACCTTCTTCCTACTGCCCGCTGGCACAGACCCCAGCCTCCCCATGACCCTGAATAGGATTACATGAGTATGGATGACTGGGCGTCTCAAAGGAAAAACATGCTCAAAGCTTTGGTCTTGTACATTCACACCATCACTGCACTGTTTCTGAGCCAAAGGTGCAGAGGGACGAGGAGAGAAACGAGAAGAGGGGGAAGGACCTCCAAACAGAAAGAAAAAAAGAAAGAAAGATGTGTTTTGCTGTAGCACGGACCAAATCTTTGTGAAAAGTAAAAGAGAGACATTGAAGTACATCAGAGAGAGTGAGAGGTCTTTTGTCCCTGTTCCTGGAGAAGAGGACACTTGGTCTTAAAGCCACATCAATCCTGCAGCGAAGAACAAGCCCACATTCATACACTATCCCCCTGCGATGGTCCCTCGCTCTGCCTTTAACTACTGTGCATGTCAAGTCTTTGGTGTTTCACATTTTCTTCTGTTCTATGTGTTCTTTCAAGTTTGACAGTGAATGTTTATCTGAAAACTTTAAGGAATTTGAGAGATGTTGGCAAAAGTGGGGCTGGTCACATGTGGATTAAATAACACATAGAAGAAAACAAAAGCATCTCAACATTTTACCTCTTCAGTAAACATATAAAAACATGGACATCCAGTTTAGTATATAAGTACAGAAGTTCACATTTGCAGACCTGGAGACACTGACAATTGACAACTGAGCATTTGTTTAATATGTCATAATAATAAATTCTGTATTTTTTTTTAAGCTCTTGTGAGCTTTAAGTCATGTTAGAATATTGTTATCTCACCACAAACATACCTGGAGTTGTGTTTTGTTTCATTCACACATATTTGAGTAGCCCTTTATTATTACCCTCATCTCCAAAGCTGAAATGCTCTATTCCACCTTATAATGTCATGAAGCGGTAGTTCACAAGTTAACAGTTACCTTTTACCTTTTGTTTATTAGAGATTTGCAATTCCAGGGCTGAAATGAAACAAATGATTCTAGTGAAGGTGTATGGAGTGTTAAAACACAGTGGAGCGTGTCCTATATTATTCAGTTTGACGGAAGAACTCTAAATATGCAGGATTTGTGTGTTAAACATGTGTGAATGAAATAAAACACAACTCCAGGTATGTTTTTGACTGGGTAACATCAATATAACATAGATCAGAAAATAGCAAAATATGAGTTTCAGAGTTTGCTGGTCAACAAAAAGTTAGACCAAACATAGGCAGATATTTTTAAATGTCTATCTTTCATATAGTGTATTAAAAGATAATGGTAATCATTATTGTAATAGCAGTCTCAGTCAGGGCTTAGGTGTTTTTGAATTGCACGCTTTAACTTACTGTTGATGACGGAGATGTCTCTGGTCTTGTAGTACTCAGACAAAGTAATGGACGACCCAGACACAGAGGCCACAGTGCGCACCGTCCTGCTGCTGTCCGCACAGTCCAGGTAACTGGCTGTACCCGTCTCATACCCAGCTCCATACCCCCCTCCATACCCCCCCTGTGTCTTTGACCCATGTACATTATACCCAGTCCCAGTACTGGTCCCGCCAACACCCAGACCTCCTCCTATACTGTCAGAGAAGCTGAAGGAGTCCCGTGTGCGATCGCGGCAGTAAGACTTGTACACCCACTGCACTACGGGGGTCTGAGTGGAGACACTGTTGTACTGGCAAGGTAGGACCACGGATTGGAACAGGATGGCATAGCGCTTCTCATCTCGCACAAAAACATGGACCGATGAGCAGGGAGGAAGGACAGCTGCGGAGGAGGAAAGGAAATTAGAGAAGGCATGGAAGTGAGACAGAGATTACACCAAAACAGCAGGATCTGGATAATTATTAAACCTGCCCTACAAGAACTAGTCAGCAGGTTTTTGGTAAACCTTTTAATAGTCTATAAGAGAAAACACATAAAATACTGTTTTACACTAGTATCCCAGATATGTCCCTTTATGTATGTCATTTTCATACACAAAATAATAGCACTTGCTTTATGTTACCATGGGATCTTATGCTAGTTCTGATAAAGCTCAAAATGACACTAATAAGCTCAAATTTTGCCCTGATTTTTTGCAGGATTGATACTTTTGACAATTCTACAACATACACATACAAGCCTCTTTGGGAGACGGACCACTGCAAGTCAAATCTGATTAAGATCCTCACTCATACACTTGAATTTATATAATACGTTTTGTGTGAAAAGTTCAGGCATTATCTACTAAAGTACACACTGGCTGTAACAAAGTAAGTAGAACTGTAAACATCTATTCTTGCCCAAAGATAAGGCCATTCCAGCAAATTAAAAAAATAAATAAATCACATAGCATACAGGAGCTCAGTTCAACAGTGTCTCTCAGTGATACAGCTAAGTTAAGACAACTGTTGAACACACACCCAGAAACAGCTGTACCCTGCTTTGTTGAGGGCTAAAAATGGGAGTTTAACCTGAATTGAGAACATATGAGGAGAGGGGCCTGGCTGTACTAGTGATAACAAGACTAGATTTTAGATGTTTGGTTTTTCTGTGAAGGAGGGACCAAAGATAACACGGCAGTAATAAAGTACTTACAGTGTGGTTCATAGACTCCTACTGAAACTTATGGTTTATGACAAATACTAAGGGCGCATTGATTCATTTTAGATGGGAATATTTACTGTATAAAAAAGATAACATCAACAACAAACAAATAAACAAACCTATTGTATTATCTACAAATACATATACAGTATTATGCGATATATGAATGCTTTTATATTATTTTGTAAAAGCATTCATTTAATTTATATTGCTTACCCTAATTATTAGTAGCTCATCTTTGCTCAGTCTGTATGTTTTATGTTTTCACTATTGACTCAATAAAATATATTTTATGAATAGGTTAAAATTCACTTATTACTGAAATAACTTGGCAGTAACCAACAATACAAATCAACAATACAATGTAGTGTTATATTTTGAACAGTTAATTAAATGTTGGTGGTTAGGAGGGTTAGAGAAATGACTTTCTAATACAAAGCCAGCAGCAGGTCTGAGGCTTTACAGTCTGAGGAGGAGGTATCCAGACTTTATTAGTTTTCTGAGTAACCCCCACCAAAGAAATGAAAACGTGAGAGAGGGGGACCACTTAAGAACTGAGTAATATGAAGGGGATTTTGTTGTTAAAATAGTTAAAATACAGTAAGTAGATACAAAAATTGCTACTGTAATGCTTGATCTTTTTATTAAGTAGGCTTTAGTTTGTTGCATTTTATTTACATGCTTAACTGGGCCTATACAAAGTTAAAAGTTTTATGTTCTAGTCTGGATCTAGCAGGTCATTGCATATGAGCATAAAATGCCAGCACGAATGATTATCTTATATTTTAATTATGATATGAACTGAAAACTGGATAAGACTAGGTAAAGTTCCAGTCTAAAAAAAAAACGGGATAAAAATTAATAATAAAACGAAGTAGTACCCAAATTTGCAAATCAGTGCATCGCGCCGCTCTGTCTCCATAATCTGGGCAAAACAACCTGTTGCCGCACTTTGCGATCATTTTACTCGTGAGTTTGTCTGACTTACCTGACAAATAAACAGCTAGAATCCACCACCGCGGTATCAAAAACATCTCCCACTTCAACCATTCAGGTTTTGATAAAGTTTCCCGGTGCTGATCGCGAACTTTTCTCCGTCTTCTCATCACTGACCGCGCACGTCTCGGATAACGGGACTACAACGATGGAGGAGCAGGAGTCAAGTTTGAGGAGGCAAAGGCACTTCCGGTTAGTTTTTTCAAAATATAACTTAATCTGTTGTCTAAAAAAACAAATGTTATCTATTATTTGTCTCTAAAATATGTTATAGAGCACAGGCTTTCTCCATATAGAGTTTTCGCTGCAGCCCACGTAAATTGTACTGCTCGTAGATCTCTTCTGTGAAGAAACTGCACCAATCGCATACTTTATTTTGAAAACAAAGCAAAAGCTATTTTAGAATATTTGTCACTTTACTCTATCTGAAACCCACAAGTTTTGGCTGTATAAACAACAACACTAAACAGTTAAAATAGTTAATAGTGATTTTGGAATGAGATAAATATGCACTACAGCTATTAATAAAGCCAAAATAATTAGTAGAAAACGATGCATTAGTTGTGTTTATAGAAGGTGGTAGACAAGGTTTGTGTCTCCCTCTACTGTTGATCTAAGGATTTTGTAGAAGAAATAAATAGGCCTATGTGATCTTCATAATACACCTTCAAAACTGTGTGTTTGCTCTGGTTTATTCTAAATAATTCTGGACCAGACACATTATCTCAATAGTTGCATTTTTTTTATTTGAGACATATGAGCAAGTAAAACACCAGGCTGTTTCAATTAAATCAACATTGGACATTGGAAAAAAGCATAGATTTTACTCAACATAACTCTGCCTATAGTTTAACAACATTTAATGACAGCACTTTCTTGCACTTTGCCTGTTGTCTATCATTATTACCACCTATAAGCAAGTAAGTACAAAGGTGATTATATGAACTTAATTCATAAATATATACAAATCATTTTAATAGTCAGGTGTTGTCTGAGGAGGTATAAAAGACATTACGGACATTAATAAAGGTGATTCTTTTTAAATATTTGCATTAAATGGGTGATTGTCAGTATCTGAATTTTAAAGTTGCATTGTTAACTTTTCTGGTGGAGGGTCCATCAGATGCTTTTCTCCATGAAGATGTTATTGCTTTGTCTGGAATGTGTGACAGTATTATAAAACCTTTTTATAATTTTTATCATCATGGAGACAACACCAGACAAAGTTACAGGTCAGATCTGTGAAAAGGCAACCACGCTTAATCAGAATGCTTGTTTTTCTAGGAATTTTTAAGCTATAAAGCCGCCTGTAATTTAATAAATGTAAGGTATAGCTGTCATAGAAAGAAAGCAGGTGATGGACCTTCAACCAAAAAGTTACACTGTGCAGCTTCAAACTGTTTTCACTTTACAATTAGGTCTCTCTTTAACAACTTTAACTTTAACAACAACCACAAACGTCCACCTTAATCCAAACATTACTCAGGTCCAAAAAACTATATTTAACAAACATAAACATTTCGTGCTTTAACATTCAATTGGATCAACATTCAGCTGCCTCTCCCTCCTTGCCCTTAAAACACATAACATTATAACCTTTGATTATGGTACATATTTGACACATTTGTGAAAGAAATCAGGTATTTGAAAAGACTTGTCCTGGAAATTATGCAAAACTTCTGTACAGCCACACATTTTAACTATATGAACCTTTGAGAACTTATGATGCTTAAAACAAATATTACAGTCAACAAATAACTTTTACAAACATATTCATTTCTACAGTAAGCATCTGTGGTTTACAAAAAAAGATTATTTTTAATTTATATTTTACATGTTCCTCCACCTCCACTCAATACTACTCATTTTGAAGGTATATTAAACAAATTGCCCAATATGCACTGGACAATCTTTGGTCTTTTGGACTGTCTTTCTATTGTAAAAAGGTCATAACTTGATCTATACATATTACAAAACTATTTTTTTATGATTATATAACCTATTTTGATAACAATTTAGTTTAGGGACCACATATGAATAGCTAGTTAATAGTAGATATTAGTATTTACAAAGTATTTTCAATGTATTTTTGTCTAAAACTGTATTTTGCTAGTATTAAATCATTATTTTCTTTCCATTAAAGTACTGGGGTTTACAATAGATGTTTCTGTACATACACTGAAATCGTAATAAGCATAAATGAGTGTTTGATAATTAGCAAACCAATGACCACTTAGCGATTTATATGTGGTCCCTAAACTGAAGTGTTACTCCTATTTCTAGTACTTGTGCTGTTGGGGAGATAGATTAATATGAGTAAACATTAACAATATAGGAAAATTTTAAAATCAAAAAAACACTTTTTCGCACACAATCCTTCAACATGGTACAAAGTGCATTAGTAAAAACAAAGCCACCAAAACGAGGTCCCCCTGTATTTCTTTACAACCAGAACATGGGCCACACCAAGCAAACAGCAGCTATGCATTATACACACAATATAAGTATTAAATTATGTCGTAAATATGCAGTATATGCCACTACAGTGATTATGGTCAAAGTCACTTAAAGCAATATTGTGAAAACTAGAACTCATATATGTTTAAATAAAGATGTCAAAATGAAAGCAGTCTAGTATATCTGAAATGTAAATAGTCTTGCACCTGTTTTCATGGTTATACAGTACATCCAAAAAAACATGACATTATTACCACCCACCACCATTAATTTTGCCCTTTTTTTTAATCTTTGAAAGCATCATTTTGAATTTTTTATAATCAATAATAGTTACAACTAAATAAATTGTAAAAAATGTTTTACTTCAAACACATACAACCCAGAATTTTTCAGATTTACTATAGCGTTATTAGAAAAACTGGTGAATGGCTTCTTGTGATGTTGAATCAAATAAATATAAATTGTACACATTTGTTTTATACAAATTCAAACCTAACACATACTAGCTTATTACGGTGATCACGCCCCTTTAATGGGACTTGAGGACTTTGTGCATACTCTCATATGTCAAACAGAAATAATATTTTCTCTAAACTTGTGACAGGATGGCTATTGTTTTGGTGTTAGGTTAGTTTCATAAATCCCTGCACATGATATGGTCAAAGACAACACTATATTAAAGAGCTTATACAATCTATTTAAACGCAAAAACTAACAAGAAAATGCTGAATGTCACTTCTAAAACTAAATTGAGAAGTTGAGTTGTTGAGAGCTTAGAAAAAGTGCCAAATTCTATGAGTAGTGATAAAACAGATAAACTCAGATTAGATTCATATAAATATTTATACAAAGCACTCTGTTAAAGCAGAAATCAACACTAAAACAACGCTTAGCCAGAACTTTATACAAACTGGAGATGATTGGGGCCACGTTACACATTGATTTGCACTTACTATATACAAACTTAAATGTATTCATATCCTGGCTCTTATAACTAACTTTCCAGAGCGAACAACAGAGGTAATGTAATATGCAAAAGAAGAGAGCTCAGACTGCTAAATGTAATACAAAAATTAAGCTTGTCAAATGTTAAGTTATCCAAACTCGTACTAAGGAAAAGTCAAGTAGTTCTGTGACTGTGGAGGCTCTGCAGAGACTAAAAACGCTGAGGATAAATGCTCTGCCCTAATGGCTAGAAAAATTAAATCTAATAATAAGATAAAATCACTGGGAAATGAAGTAGGAATCAACTGTGTCACATTAACAAATTTTGAAGTGTGATATATTGCTGAAGTCAATATATATGATAAACGATAATACTGAAACTAAACCATTTAACAGAATTACTCACAAAAAGAGGAAATGTACAATGCTGTTCAGTAATGTTGAGCTGTATAAATAAATATCAGAATGCAACACTTCAGTAATTAGTTTATGTAATTTTAGTTAATAATTTAACTTTCTGCAGCTCAAATTTGATCATATTGCAGAAAAAATAACCCCAAATTTCTCACTAGCACAAAAAAAGCATAAATACTGACCTCCAAAAATCTCCGTTTCATCTATCATATATTGAATGATAAGTCAACATAGTAAATATCGTGACAGGTCTAATTGTAGCTTATATTTTAGAGCCAAGATATGAATACCATTGTACTGAACCGTAGCTTCACCATGTGGGCATCATGTCAGGGAACCAAACCCTCCCCAAATGCTTCGACACCTCCCAGTGAATATCGTCAAGGCCGTAGCGATGATCTGGCACCAGCACCTCCTCCATGATGGACAGCTGCGTCAGTCTGTCTCCGCACATCTTAACGAATTCAACAAAAGCGCTGCACGAGACTTCACACTCACCTAGTCCAATCGCAGATAACTGGGTACAGCGCTGAGCAATGCGGATCAGCTCTTCATCCAGGGGTCTCAGGCCATTTGCGCAGACCACCAGCTCGACCAAACGGGGGCAAGTGAGTCCCACCCGCCCCAATACGTCTTTACTGACAGAGCGGCCAAAATACAGATGTGTGACTGGGATCTCGTCGCGAAAGAAGGGCCCAAACTCGTCTTCATACAGGAAAAAGTACATGACCAGGTTGAACTTCGGGGAGTGGCGCACCATGGCATCCCAGCTGCTCTTCTTGATGGTGTGAAACTGCTGTCCGGGGTTTTCGCTCACGACATCGATGCGGAGGTGCTCCAGGTGGACGTGTTTCTCAGAGGAGAGGGCGATGAGCAACTCATCACTCAACAGGTGGTAGTTTAGCGCCAGCTCTCTGAGGCCATGGCACTGGTCAGCCACACACAAGATGCCTATGATTGACAGGAAATATGTCAACAATCAAAAAATGACAAAAAATAGGTAGTAATTATATATTTATTTAATATCAGGACTCAGACAACTTTATTTGTCCGCTGCATTTGACCCCTTCTTCAGTGCTGCTGGGGCAACCTGTCAGGAGCAGTGTCTTCAGATCACCAGGTTTGGTCAGGACTAGTTTGGCTGGCATTTTTTGACCTACAGTGCATATTTTGGGTTGAAGGGCAAAAACCAGAGTGCCCAGAGGAAACCCACGCAGACACAGAGAGAAATATACAACCTCTGCACAGAAAGGACTGCCCTCAGGAGTAGAACCCAGAAACTTCTTGGTATGAATGCTAGCAGCTACCTTGCAGCAGCTTGTACTTTTATGAGCAGGTAAATTACATGTTTACTACTGGTTAAGTTTACAATTCTAGGCACCACAATAGCAGCCTGGGGACTTGTAGAATTTTTAGACTATTCTATTTATGCTTTAGATGTCACATAGCTTAGAATAGACTTACACGCATTTCATTTTCTGTGGATTTTGTGCAGGTTTTGAGAGCTGGTATCCCTTAGTATTAGAATCTATCTGACTGTACCCATCATTACTGGCTCTACTCATTCCTCATTACTGTTCAGGGGTTAGGATTAGAGTAATAAAGAGTTGAATTCAATATGGATCAAAATGTCTGCCGGAGTCCTCTGTCAGTATGTGACTGTACCTGCAGGGGACACATGAGGACAGCTGCTCATCTTCAGCAGTTTGAGCGTGTCACTGTTGTTCGCCACCAGGACTTTGAGTGAGGGATCGTCCACCGGCGTGTCATCGATCTTCAGAGACGAGAGGGACTTGGAGTTCACGAAAACCACCGTCAGCGCAGAGATGAAATGAGACTGGTGAGGAAAGAGTGAAGCAGCTTGTTATTGTACTCAAAGGAAACACTTAAAAGTGCATTGTATAACAATTCTTGTGCAGGGTTTGTTAAATGCTTTTCTCTGTGGAGATGTTATTGCTTTGTCTGATATGGTTCATAGTATGGCATTAAACCTTTTTATCTTCATGGAGACCAAACCAGACCAAGTCACAAAGGTTAGATCTGTGAAGAGGTGACACCACTCACAGTCAGAATGCCTGTTTCTCTAGATTTTTTTTTAGCTATAAAACCACCAGTAATTGAATAAATGAAAGGTAGAGTTGTTTAATGTCATACTGTGGAACATTCCAGGCAAAGCAATGACATGTCCATAGAAACAAGCAGGTGACGGACCCCTAACCAAAAGTTACACAGTGCACCTTTAATAATAAATAAAGCCAGAATGAACCTGAAGCAAAAAAAAAAAGAAGAAAAACAAAATAAGAAAAAAAAAACGTAGATCAGACTTGGGCATTTTGTTTTACTCGAGTGTCCGCAGCATTTGATCATAATGACTATAGATTTCAGAAAGCCTATATTTTACAGACATTTGCTCATGAGCATTTGTTACACCAATGATCGCGTTGGTCCGACCATCCGCCAGATGTCTGGATTCGAATATGGCCCTCGGAGAAAAAAATAATTGCTCACCCCTGTGGTAGACTGCAAAACAAAAAAAAGTTTTAATAAGAAATAGTTGGGTCCATACTGCAAGAACTCTGAGGTATGGGTCTAAAAAAACTAACTTGGATCTCTTAGATTTTTTTTTTACCTGATCAGCAAAGTTTCTCTATGAACATGATAAGAAATAGACTTTAATATATGTAATTATCACAACTTTTGATCAAGTTTTGAACAACGGTATATATCTAAACAGTATACTTAGGCATCACCAAGTATAATTTATAAATAACTTGACAATAAGAAATCCCTTACTTTGGGCAGCTCCATGAAACTTGGTCGAGCCGTAGAGATGAGTCCCAGAGTTTTCAAAGAACAGTTGACGAGCTGAGAGAGAATATCACAGGCCGCCTCTGCCGACTCACGGCTGCTGTCCACCTGAACAACACAGAAATGCACTGATAAAGAACCATCCTGTTTTTGCTTGTTTATTCAGATTCAGACATTTTTATTAATCCCACCAGGTGCAATTCATTTGGGCTGTTTGTTTAAGAAATATTTTGACAACAAAGTGCCATAGGAAAAGTATGTAAAAAGAAAAGTATATCTAAAATGTCATCTCAACATAGGCAAGACAGTGAATAAATCATTATGCACAATTATGAATTTTATGTCATGACATGGGGATGTTGGCGTGGAAATATTAAAATAAATACATTAGTCATGTTGTTGGCCAGAAGGACTACATTAACAAATAATAAAAATGTCAGATTTTGGCTAAAACACTCTGAATAATGTATACCTTATTGTGCACTCTTTAAATATCATAATTTGTACCCTGCAGATTTTCAAAACATGCCTTCATTTTATCTCAGTATTATCATTTTATTATTATTTATTGTTTTATGTTGCAGCATATCGCCAAAGCAAAGTCCTGGATTGTGAATTTTAGTTACTGACAATAAAACTGATTCTCATTTTCACAAATGTTTCTAATGATGTGCCCGTTTGCGCATGTGAGGCCTGCCGCAGCATTTTTTAAAAGTGCATTCCCGGCATGTTTCTGTCAGCGTCACGTTTCAGTCGCATCACGTGCTCATACCTTGAAGCTGACGTACTGCAGATGGTTGGAGTGGCGTTTGATGATCTGTTTGATGAGGTCTGGGTGTGTGGCCTTCAAGTACGAGCTCGCCGGCTGGTTCAATTCAAACTCGAAGCACCGCCACAGCTCCGGCATGTGGAAAGCTTGGTTCCACCCACGGCACACCTTTGGACAAACAGAGATAAAGAAAAATAAACAAAACATGAAATACTACCCTCAGAAGGTTCAAAGTGCCACAATGGAGATGACTGGAGGCTAAATGAATTGATACTTTGCAGCTGATATCATAATCATCCTCTGGGGATGTCCCCAGGGTAATACCACTGCAAAGTATCAACAGTCCCTAACGCATGTTCAACAATGAACCATTTTCTATTTTCAGTGTAGAAATGCTATTTAGGATTACCCTGTCCAGAGGGTTGAACATGTTGAATAATTTGCCTGGAATTATCCACAGTATAGCATTAAAATCACCTATCTCCATGGAGACAAGCAGGTGACAACACAAGGCCAAATTACAGATCAGATCTGTGGAGAGACAGGTCCGCTCAAAGTAAGAAAGCGTTCTCAAGGTATTTTAGAAATAAAACACCTGTAATAAATGCAAAACAGATAAGTTTAATGCCATACACGTGCCACACAAGCAAAGCAAATCATCTCCATGGAGACAAGCAGGCAGAGAACCTCCACCCAGAAAAGTTACAGAGTGCACCTGTAACCCAAGAAGAAATTTCGAGTGAGAAGAAAATGAAGTAAATCTAAATATTTTACTGATTGTTGTAATGTTTTAAAAGTGTGTATAAACAAGTTCAATTATGGTGTTTAGTGAACATTCTTTCCAATTTAGTAATAGCCAACAAACCATTAAATGTACCAGCTGTATGACACATACAGCAGCAATTATAGCACCCGCCATCTAGACAGTGTGTATTTTTAGCCTGTGTAGCCTCGCCATAAGGTCTGGGCTCACAGTGAGATACCTGAGAGGCATATGCTCGGTCCAGCAGAGGTAAGTACTGAAAGATGTGCAGTAAGATCTCCTGTGGCAGACGCTCCCAGTGCACTCCTCCCTCCTCCTCCGAATGTTTGTCCCTCCTCAGTTTTTGGGACTTTTTCAGGCTTTTCTTCTTCACTGCGCCGCTGGTACCTCCCCCATCCTGCTGCTCACTTGGCTCCAGACAACGCTTCATTCTGGAAAACAGAAGAAGAACTCAAGTTAGCAACTGTAGGCCTATGTAATGGTGTTTACAAGTAAACACACCAATACATAATATAAAAACATGGATTTCGTTCCATTTGTTCCAATACAGTGCCCATATACCGTATATTAAGATGTCTTCATTGTAAAATAAATAATAATAAATAAATAAGTCAAAATAAATCTAAAATTGTAAACTAAATGATTTTACACCAAAATGAAAAATGAGAAATAATTAGTAATTATAAAAATCTCTTTTTTAAATATTAAAGAGCAAATTATACTATTGTTATTGTTATAACAACACATCATGTTTTCCTACGTTATGAAGATGACTACAACACTGCAAACAGCTACAATAATAATTCAATGCACATACTATCTGTACTTACATTTTGCAGTCTTATAATGGTAATGGTTGAAAGATCCACCAAAAAAAATTACTACTTAGTAAATAAATGACACCTACTCTGTATACTGTAACTTAGATAGTTTGTTTAGGCTTGAACACACCCTGAGCAATGATTAATTCCTTAATCTGTTCACATGAGAACTCTTGCCTGACAATACAAGACAATTGTGTCTTAGCCTGCACAGTTCAATGGAGCTCTGTCAGTGGCTTAGCTGTAATTGAAAACGGACACACCTCCTTTTAGTAACAACCTGTATCAAGCAGTTTTATATACACTAAATAACACATTTAAGTGCAAAAATAGTTATAATTACAACACAAACGGAGTCATGCCATTTTACCATGTTTGTTTTAATATATTTTAAACGTGGCCTACACTTTACGAAGGCAAATAACACGAACTAGCTTTAGCCAAGTTATTCTTATCGGTTGTTGAACAAGACTGTGCGTAAATTGCGCCTTATCCAAAGGTAAACTGGCACCACGTATAGATTAATAATTCATGTTGTGGTTTTAAGTTTGTCTTCTCACCTGTTTTAATATCTTCGTCAGCGATTTGTGAAGAAAATACGATCACTCGGCTTCAACCAGGTCCAACATACGAAAACTGCGTAAAAGCTGGCGCACCGATCACCCTCATTGGGCCATACAAGTGCTCCGTGTGTTCGGGAGGTGGTAAATTCAACAAAAACGCCTTGTAAATGTGGATTTTATGGCTGGTTTTCGTCCTGTAGCGCCTGACCTAGTTTCCCTTCACAACTCTGCCTCAGTAGTTTGCTGTCAGCTAAAGATGGCGCATGTTGTTGTGTTGAGAGAGCGAACAGCTCGCTGCAGGGACGATACTACGCCACCAGAGGGCGACAAATACCCGCACCTGACTTAAACTTATAATTACGCCAAACTTTATTGATCCAAAAGGGAAATTATTTGTCTCAGTTGACACAGTAGCTCTCATATCACAATATAATATAATGACAAAGAGTAAAAATATAAATGGTAATAATAAATTCTAAATAAGTATCAAAAAAGATAGCAAGAGAGGTGTCAAATAAAGCATAATTAAATAAACGTACAGGTCAAAAAAAAAAAAAAAAAAAAAAGTAATAGTAGACTCGACCCCATATCACACCCCCGCCTGCACCAAGTAGGCTGAAGGGGTAGAATCAGGCATCGGTGACAAATTTGGCCTTGTACTAATACTGTATTCAAATTCAAAATATTCAAATAAGGATTACCAAAGCCACCACCTCAGTATAAACCTGTGGGAATACTGGGGATTAGACTAGCAGCCTATAAAACGAATAGTCTCTTCAAAAACAATTAAAACGATTGCAGAAAAGTGGCATGAGTACTTCAGTGGGTCAAGTGGTGTAAAAGAAATTGTAAACATGTATAAAAAAGTAATAATAATAATGAATAACAATAAAATTATTTGTATTTTTGTATTTGTAAGGTTGTTTTTAAGTTGTGATGAGATCTAATTGCAAGTGTTCAGGCTATAGACCAGTTTTCTAGTGTCAGGCATGATGTGCATCTCTGTAGATCAGTGACCAGCGACCACGGACAGTAAATATGTTATAAAGATGTTTCAGTGACATAGATAGAATGAACCCTATGGATGTTGATCTACATGTCAGAATCAGAAATGTCCATATATAGACTGCGCAATCTGGAATGTTGCTTTAAAAGGTTGTAAGTAGGGCAGACTTAACCATTAGAAAAACTCATCACATGGATCATTTGTCAAGGCCATCAGGCTACAGTCTATTTCAGCACGTTTGGGACTATACTAAACATTTGGAGATGTCACTTTAAAGGTTTTGGAGTAAATTTTCCCACAGCATTTAGACGGACGCTTAATCACGAGGAGAGCAGATACAGATGTGATGATCTTCTAAGTGTTTACAAAATATTGGGCCTGGTTGGGGTCAAAGGTGGAGTTGCTCAAGCACATCGCCGCGCTGGCTTTGATCTGTCAGCGCCGTTTATCAGGCAGGGGCCGTGATGCAGGTCCAGACGGAGGGGGGCGGGATCTGGGACACGGGGGCAGATGGGGCAGATGGGGCAGATTCACTGAACCACCGCAGCACCTCCGCGCGGCGCACAGACCTCTGCGCGCCGGACAGTGGACCTGATGGAGCTGTACCTGGACCTGTGCTCTCAGCCCTGTAGGTCGGTGTTCATCTTCGCCAAAGCCCTCAACATCCCCTTTGAGTTCAAACATGTGGACTTATCTGCAGGTAAAGCACTTATATACTATTTTTACAAGTAGGCTCGTAAGTTTCAGCTTTCTCTTATATGTCATATTTTGAAGACTTTTCTCATTGAAAAGGTTTTGTTTTGCCTATGTTTTGCTAATTTTTCATAATTCTGAAACCCACGGATAGTCGAGTTTGTGTTAGCTCTTGTTAAAGCCACCGTTTTTAATATAATTTGTCTTTAAGTTGTCGTTCATTTCACTAAATACTTAAAAATTATGTGTTTTTGCTGTGAGCCCCTTGCATCTCTACAAACCCGACTTACTTAGAGGAGGGCCTCTGCTTTCTGCTTGTTTTTATGGAAATGTTGTTCCTTTGGCTATAATCTTCCACAGTATGGCATTAATCATATCTGTCTCCGTGGAGAATTGATCAAAGTATGATTTTAACTTTGTATTGCATGGAATCATGCAGGTGACTTGCCACTGCTACTGCTAGAAAGTTACATAGGCTACTGTGTTTAAAGCCCTGCCTAGTTTCTCCTTCATTCCAAGATAATGAGCTTTAATAACAATGAGTAATCACCTTGTTATCAGCCCTTGACCTTTTCCTTTGTTTACATTAATTGCAATAAAGGTTATAGCAATTACTGCAGTATTTACCAAAACGTGTAAGTAACCTTACATTTCTATTTGGTATAGGCGATGGCATTTTTTTTGTTTGTTTGTTTGTTTGTTTTAATTTCATTCATAAAGTATAAAAAGACATTAACAGTGTCACAACAGTAAAACATACAATACATTAATGAAAAGGAGAAGAAAGAAGAGTAATCTTATATAATCTGCCCCTTTGTCACTTTAAAACATTTCAAATCAATACACTTCAGTTCAGTCACAATCAATCACATCAACTGCAAACAGAAATCTTCATTATTATGCACAACAACTTAGTTTCCTTTTTCATACATATACACTGCACTGGAATTTATGTGTTTTTTAAATGCCATTATTGTACTTGATTCTTTTATATATTTGTCAAGACTATTCCATAAATTAACTCCTTTCACAGCAATGCTTCACTCCAATACTCTAATGGTCCACTATGTAACTTTTTGGGGGTCTGTTTCCTGCTTGTTTCTACAGATATGTCATTGCTCTGCCTGGCATGTTCCACAGTATCAATAAATGTAAGGTAGACCTGTTTAATGTCAATTACAGGTGGTTTTATAGCTCAAAAACACATAAAGAAACAGGGATTCTGCCTGAGCGGGGTTGCCTCTCCACTGAACTATAACTTAGTCTAGTTTGGTCTCCATGAAGATAGAAAGGTTTAGTACTGTGGTGTTAAAAATTCCAAACAAAACAATAACATCTTCATGGAGATAAGCATTTGACGATTCCTCCACGAGAAAAGTTACACAATCACACAATCAAATCGTTGTATGGGTCAAATCAATGTAAAATAAATGTATGTGGCTGTTGCTTAGTAACAAATTTGCTTAACAATACAGTGCATTTATTAATACAGTTACTAAATGAAATCCTAAAAATGAATTCCCATTGTCTACTTTTCCAGCGCTAGCCTTAGTTTCAGCTTTATTTGTGTTAGCGTGTCAGTTATGAAAAGCGTTTTCATTTTTCACACAGAAATTGGAGCTTCCCATGGGGTCAACGGTTGGAGTTACGTTACCTCCTGATAACGCATTAATACAAAACAAACAGAGGATGAGATGCCCGAGTTCAGAGTTCAAAGGCCTAGACAAAACAGCCTTGTCCCTGTGCGGAGACGCAAAGACACAGCGGGAGGAAGAAAACCAGGACAGTGGTAGACATAACAAAAACATGTACATTCAGGCTGGGAATCGCTGGGCATCTCAGGATATCAGAGTTCAGCTCAGTTCATTTGTTTGAGCCATATGAAATATTATGATATCGACATGAAATTATTATTTTACATATTGTGCTGCTTATAATTATACTCAAAAAGGAGTGGGAGGAAGTGTAAACTTATAAAAACCTACCCCTATCATCTTTTTATATGCGGCATGGTTAACAATACTGGCAATAACACAATAAAAATGGGCTATTATCAGTCAGTAAATAGTTTCATTACACCAATATATATAAACCAAAATGAGAGATCGACTGAACTGAAATTAACTGAACCGATATCGACTGAATCAATATCCAGTCAATATCTGTTCCATTATCCAACCCCAATATCCCTAATTAAAATAATTTGAACACTGCTCAGTTACAAAACACGCTAAGGGTTTGTGCAGTGGCTGACTACTATTAATTAGGTCAAAGTGTGCATGACAGTATAACATTTTACTTAATCTATAACTATTGTAAATATATGTTGAAAATGTTAAAAATATGTTGAAAATTACATTGATTTTCACTGATGAAATCACACTGTAGGGATAATTTTATCCAAAAGTTTGTCACAATTTACACGTTAGATTTTTTTTTTTTTTTTTTTTTTTGTTCAGATATTTGAAACATGAATTCAACAAAATAAAGACATTCAGATATTACTTTCTGTTAGTTCTGTTGTTTTATTTGGTAACAGTGCCTGGTGTAATATCCTGATTTCCCACCAGTAAGTAACATTTTATATCTTAAAAAATTGCTATTTTGGGAAAACGCGTGTGAATGTTTTTGCAAAAGTCTTAAATATAATATTATTTTCTGTGTTTTAGTAAATTAGTAGTCTAACATGTCTTAGGCACTTTAAAAGGACACTAACTAACTGTAACTTTTTAGTTGGCAGTCCGTCACCTGCTCTTCTCTATGGATATGCCATTGCTCTGCCTGGAATGTTCCACAGTATGACATTAAACAGCTGTACCATGCAGTTATTCAATTACAGGTGGTTTTATAGGTCAAAAATACCTAGAAAAACATGCATTCTGGCTGTGATCAGGGTCGCCTCTCCATACATTTGACCTGTAACTTGGTCTGGTTTGGTCTCCATGAAGATATTGATCACACTGAATTACATTGTTAAGAGATTGTGTCGCACTGAGGCATGATTCTCTATCTAGTTTAGCTAAATTCCTATCACCCTGAAGGTGATTTTCTTGTGCACGTCCTCTCTGCTCAGCTGTGTTTCTGTTTTGGTTCATTTCAGGGCA